GGGTGATAGAATGATTCTATAGGGTATCTGGTCCTTCAGTTCTCTAATAGGGTGATAGAATGATTCTATAGGGTATCTGGTCCTTCAGGTCTCTAATAGGGTGATAGAATGATTCTATAGGGTATCTGGTCCTTCAGGTCTCTAATAGGGCGATAGAATGATTCTATAGGGTATCTGGTCCTTCAGGTCTCTAATAGGGCGATAGAATGATTCTATAGGGTATCTGGTCCTTCAGGTCTCTAATAGGGTGATAGAATGATTCTATAGGGTATCTCGTCCTTCAGGTCTCTAATAGGGTGATAGAATGATTCTATAGGGTATCTGGTCCTTCAGGTCTCTAATAGGGTGTGTAACATTGGTTGGGCTGAAAATGTCATATTAGCTGTTCTATGAGCCCTAATGCAGCCTGGTTAAAAGCCCTAGAATGAAACCACAGGTTTTCTTCCTTTTATGGTTTGATCATGAACATTTAGATGAGCTGTGCTCTGATTGGTCGGTTTACAACGAGCCAAGCGGCTGAGCAAAGACGCATCATAGCAACAAGCACTCACTCACTGAAACATCAGATTGTTGATATGGTAGGGGGACCAGACGTCCTCTTTTTCCCAGACATGTCCTACTTTTCATACCTAAAAAATGTCCAAAATTTCAAAATGTTTTGGGATTTTGGGCGCCTACAGTGCAGCATGTAGTCAAAACACACCCGGCACTCGAACCGAGCAGTGAACTCCGAGGCTGGTCTGGGAACTCTGGCGGACGGGGGCAGGGAGCCAGCGGGGAATGGAACAACCAAACCCGACCCGGTGACGGTAGCCGGGACAACGGCGGCCCCGTGCTTCCTCCTGCCTGCCTTGCCCACCCCCAGCCCAGAACCCAGTACAGGTCAGAACCAAATAAGGCAACATGCCTGAGCTAACGTCACCGCAGGGCTTCGTCTGAAATCGCCTGTTTTATGGTGGAAGTTTAGAATAGTGAGACTAGCAGAGAAAGGGGGAGTTGATGGGGTTTGAACTTCTCTGTACGTCCATTTCAGCCCCTGAACTGTCGTTATTCATCTAAGACAATGGAAACTAGGTTTTGCATTCTATGACCCCTTTAAAGTTGAAATATCAAATCAGCAAACCTTTGGAGAATAAAGTTGCTTCAACCCAGAAAATGTGTTGGATCAGGTATTTCTCATAGAACAAAATAAAGATCCTGAACCAAACTGAAACCTGAATGAAGCCTGATTGAAGAGCTGTTCCATCAGAGGACTGAATACCAACCAGCCCCAGTGAAAAACATCAGTGCAGTTTAGTGGAAAACATCCAGAGTCCAAATGATAAATCAGAAATTCAGCGTTTGTTTTCTTGAGAACCACCTAAAGCTGAGATTAGACGAGGGTTTAAGGAGGTCACGCTTTCGAACCGTAGCACAATGTTGTAGCCGTCCTCAGTCTAGTGGACTAGAAGCAACAGCTTTCATGAATCGCACCCTCCAGATGTTCCTGACTGCTGATTGGCTGCCTCTCTGCCAGCATACAGACTAGAGGCTTCAAGCTTGAACCTGAAGAGGTGTTAAGGTGTATAAAGAGTCCAGTCAGCCCTTCTTCAGTAATATCAGCTAACCCTCCTGATAAATGGGCAGTGAACCGAGTAAACAGCGGTCACATGTACGGCCCGCTTTTCAATTACCTTGCAGTTAACCTCCCCATAAAGGTCTCTGTAGCTGCTCAGCACAGCAGCCCATCCCTGCCCTCCCTCTGATCTGTCTTTACCTTTAGCATACAACTCTTCTCCTCCGTGGGTTTCTCCAGCCCCGAGCCAAACACTGACATTAAATATACATGTTCCTCTGCAAAGAAGAGTCAAATTCTGCTTTTAAACCTAAAACCGAGCTGCCAGACCTCCTCCTTTTAGCCCTACCTGTATCTCTCCTTCTCCTCCTCCTTTTTTTTTTTTTATTTAGATTTTTTTTTCATTATTGCAGAATTCTTTCATTAGATTTTATGGAGATAATGAGATATTGCTGCTGCTCATGGTTTACAGGGCGGGGGGGGGGGGGGGATATTAAGATCAGGAGCTGCTATAAATACAGTGAAAGAGGAATGTCTAATCATATCTAAGCTTCTCTTATTGCACATGTCATTTAAACAGGATGGAGTTCTGTGATTTCAATCAGTTTATTATAAATCACTTAAAAGGAGTTTTATGGTTTTCTGTCATATTGACTCTTTCTAAAGGAGTTTTTCTGAAGCGGCTGCAGGGTGACTCATGCCACTCAGTGCCAGGGGCAGACAGAAAGAGGTCTGTACATGGAGGAATTTTCAGGATCAAAATGTAATTCAACACACATGATGCATGATTTAGTTGGCGGCTGCCTGCTTTCTAAAAATATCCACCCCCAGCTTTGTTCCCCCTTCTTCATTTATCATTTTCTATCCGCAGACTGACATGTGACAGCAGTTCATCAGGATGCGATATTAGACTCTGAAGCCCGCGCCGGCGATCAGCTGGGCTCCATTTGCATAATGATTATAAGACGTGAAATATCCAGGTTGGCTCCTGCATAAACACATGCCAGTCATCATCATGAGAAATCATTGCTTCTTCCTCCAGCAGCAAGGTGCCAGCAGGCCGGGATTGATGCCGTCCATGATGAGTTGCAGAGACCGCGGGGGCACGTTTCAGAGTAACGCATGGAGGAGGTCCGATGGCCCAACATGAGGGAGAAACCAGACTACTGAACATAGCACGGGAAATCACTGCTTCATTAGCGCCGCACTGACTGGGCCCATGAAAACCTATAATAACTAATCACAGTTTAATATACGGCAAACCGTTTTTGGTCGTTGTTTCCTCGGTTATGATGCAAAGTGACTGTAGCAGGAAGAAGAAGAGCTGAGGATCAGCAGCTTCTTTAGTCGCGATAAGGAGCAGAGGTGTCAGGGAACAAATACCAAATACTTCCTTACTTACGTAAAAATGTTTTCCATCTATACTTTACTGGAGTAATTATTTCTCAGACAACTTTTTACTTTCTAATCCTTACACTTTAAAAACAGACTCGTTAGTTTTGTTTAAGCTCATTTTTATTATGGCCTGTTGGTATTTAAAAAAAATAATTAGTTTCATCCAGACAATTCATTTCTTTGTGGTTGGACTCAGTGCTGCCCCAACTTGTTGCTCACCACAAACTAAAATAAATCATTTTTCAATATGATGCAAAGTTAAATGTGACTCTGTTACCATTAGTTATAGAAGAAAATGAAGTCTAAGGAAGTTATTATCCAGAATTATACAAAAATGTTCCTTTAGTAGGGCAGAGCAGTAAAGCTTCTGGCCTTAACAGTTTTTCCTTCATCACTTTTACACTTCATTTTAAAAATGTTACTTTTACACTTTTACTGGAGTAAAAAGCTTAGGTTGATCCTCTAACTTTAAAAAAAGTGTTTTTTCAACAGTAAGATTTATATCTCTATTAAACATGAATACTGTTGACACCTCTAAGGAGGCGAATAAATCAGACGCACAACATCAGCAGAGCCTTAGTTTATTTGTGATGTTTTTGCGTTTAAACGCAAAAACATCACAATTCCTTATGTTGGGATCCCTTATTCACTGCTTTGAAATTCAGAAAAAAACAGCTTATAAACCAGAGTCTCTGAACAAATGTCTGCTTAGTCAGTCACCTACTCTAGATGGTTTTAATCAGGCCTCAGTAGAAGCGCTTAAACAGGATATTTCAGTCAAATCCATCTCTAGGCAGGTCTGGAGAAAACCTTTCTCTCCCTTTTGCATTTATATTTAGTAGAATTTATCACTGCAGCAGTGTCTTCATAGGTTTGCTTAGAAAGTCCATCAGACAGCTGCAGCTGATCCAAAACGCGGCTGCCCGTGTCCTCACTAGAACTAAGAAAGTAGAGCACATCAGCCAGGATCTGAAGTCCCTCCACTGGCTTCCTGTGGCTCAAAGAATAGCCTTTAAAATCCTTCTGTTAGTCTAGAAATCACTGAATAGATCAGCACCTCAATCCAGATCTGTTGTCAGTGGATCAATATTGACAACATTAGAAATATCCCTCCATTGACAGGTGTAGAAAAACTACAAGCTTCTGTTACTTTAAGGGTGGAAGGTTGTTCATGTTATCTGGAAGGCTGCAGCTCTGCTGGACCAGGAGAACATCCTGTCAATGACGGCATGCTGGATGGAAGGCAGCTCCGTTTATCAATGATCTAAGATGGCCGTCATAAAGGAATGTGTCCAGCGTGATGGACAAGAAGAAGCTAAAAGCCTGGAGGCTTCAGAGGCCAAGGAGGAAACCTCATCACAATCTCCACAAATTAAATGTCTCCTGGTTTCAGGCATGTTTCCTTCAACAGAAGAAGATCCACAATGTTAGATAGAAAAAAACTCCCGGGACTAAAGTCTTAATCTGCTAAAGATCTGCAGCGAACTAGAGCCAGGCAAGTTGAGCTTTGGTGAGTCTGCTGGCAGCCCAACGGCCCAGTCTGCAGATCCTCACACGCCAGCGGCGTGCAGCCAGCATCTGAGGTGACGCTACGGAGCAGCGGTACCAACGCTGCAGGGCCATGAACCCAACGGCAGCCGGTTCCCCAAGAGAAGATGAACAAATGAGCCAACGTCTGCACTACTGATAATACCAGTGGCAGCCATCTTTAATGCAGAGGTAGAGGCCCGACTTTACAACCCATAGTTCTGACTTTGAGGGGTGGAAATAGCCAGTAAAATGCAGCATCAGCATGTCTCTGGTGTGGCAGCTAACACACTGCATGAAGGTGAGCAGAGTGGAGGACATGGAAATGTGAATAAATCCTAGGGACCAGGGGAAGAGCCTGGGGGGGCTGTTTGATGTCAGCTGGCAATAAGGAGGATGACATTGCAGGCTGCTTTGCCTGAGCAGAGGGCGGGACATACAATGTCATCTCAGAATAAGCGATGGTGGACAGTAGATGCTAAAAGTAAATTAGAACCAAAGAAAAAACATGTGAAAAACGGACCTGTCTGATGGTCCTCGCCACCAGGCTCTCCAGCACCGGCCCTCGGTCTTCATGTAGAAGGTGGACTTCATCCAGGATCAGGAGACGGACAATCTGAGAGAGCGCCACGTCGCCGACGCTTTTCCTGGTCACCACGTCCCACTTCTCCGGCGTGGTCACCAACATCTGGAAACAAGGATGAACACATGCAGCTGTTCAAATGGCACATTAGGGCTAGAAGCTGGATGTTCACTGGGTTAGAGAGCAATGCAGGACTGCCGGGGGGGGGGGCACATATGCTAAATACTCAAGGTTTCACATGTAAATATTGTTTGGACAGCTGGTGCTGGTTTGGTGAACCAGGAGGGAGCATCAGTCCTGATGTTTATCACTGAGAAGTGGAACAGGAGAGGGAAGGTTCATGGTTATGGCAGGAAGGTTCATTCATGCAACCAGACAATTCAAAGTGCTGCAAACTAAAAGAAACAAGAAGAAAACACAGAATAGTTCATCACATTGGCATAAATGACTAATCTAATAGAAGAAAATGAAAAAATAAAATCATAAAATTATAAACATGGTAATAAAATTATTAATAATCAAAAGAAAGGAAGCTGGAATGCAAACTAATACTGTCTAGATATTACTCATCTTTCTTGGAATTTGTTCCAGATTAGGGTGGCACAACATTTAAAAGCTGCCTCAGCTTACCCCTGAGGGTAAACCTTTATTGATAAGTCGAATTCCACATGCAGCTAAAAAATTCACAATATAGCGCTCACTCCCGCCTCAAAGTCATTTCCCCTCATTCCGGTCGGGCAGATGAAGCGAATCGTCTTCAGTGTCTTGATTTTTATCCAAAGAGAAATCTACCATTTTGAGCAGGAACACTTCTCCATGTTTGGTTTTGGTTCTGTTCCAGTAGAACTGAGAGGTCTGGCTGTCGATCCCCTGCCAACCAGTCCAGGATGAATACTGGAGCGAAGCCATTCACTGATTTCTAGACTAACAGATGTTAAAATCTGTTCTCTGTCAACTTTAGAACTGGGCTGATCTGATCTACTTTCTATAGTTCTAGTGAGGACGCAGGCAGCAGCGTCTGGATCAGCTGTCTGATCTACTTTCTATAGTTCTAGTGAGGACGCAGGCAGCAGCGTCTGGATCAGCTGTCTGATCTACTTTCTATAGTTCTAGTGAGGACGCAGGCAGCAGCGTCTGGATCAGCTGTCTGATCTACTTTCTATAGTTCTAGTGAGGACGCAGGCAGCAGCATCTGGATCAGCTGTCTGATCTACTTTCTATAGTTCTAGTGAGGACGCAGGCAGCAGCGTCTGGATCAGCTGTCTGATCTACTTTCTTAGTTCTAGTGAGGACGCAGGCAGCAGCGTCTGGATCAGCTGTCTGATCTACTTTCTATAGTTCTAGTGAGGACGCAGGCAGCAGCGTCTGGATCAGCTGTCTGATCTACTTTCTATAGTTCTAGTGAGGACGCAGGCAGCAGCGTCTGGATCAGCTGTCTGATCTACTTTCTATAGTTCTAGTGAGGACGCAGGCAGCAGCGTCTGGATCAGCTGTCTGATCTACTTTCTATAGTTCTAGTGAGGACGCAGGCAGCAGCGTCTGGATCAGCTGTCTGATCTACTTTCTATAGTTCTAGTGAGGACGCAGGCAGCAGCGTCTGGATCAGCTGTCTGATCTACTTTCTATAGTTCTAGTGAGGACGCAGGCAGCAGCGTCTGGATCAGCTGTCTGATCTACTTTCTATAGTTCTAGTGAGGACGCAGGCAGCAGCGTCTGGATCAGCTGTCTGATCTACTTTCTATAGTTCTAGTGAGGACGCAGGCAGCAGCGTCTGGATCAGCTGTCTGATCTACTTTCTATAGTTCTAGTGAGGACGCAGGCAGCAGCGTCTGGATCAGCTGTCTGATCTACTTTCTATAGTTCTAGTGAGGACGCAGGCAGCAGCGTCTGGATCAGCTGTCTGATCTACTTTCTATAGTTCTAGTGAGGACGCAGGCAGCAGCGTCTGGATCAGCTGTCTGATCTACTTTCTATAGTTCTAGTGAGGACGCAGGCAGCAGCGTCTGGATCAGCTGTCTGATCTACTTTCTATAGTTCTAGTGAGGACGCAGGCAGCAGTCGTCTGGATCAGCTGTCTGATCTACTTTCTATAGTTCTAGTGAGGACGCAGGCAGCAGCGTCTGGATCAGCTGTCTGATCTACTTTCTATAGTTCTAGTGAGGACGCAGGCAGCAGCGTCTGGATCAGCTGTCTGATCTACTTTCTATAGTTCTAGTGAGGACGCAGGCAGCAGCGTCTGGATCAGCTGTCTGATCTACTTTCTATAGTTCTAGTGAGGACGCAGGCAGCAGCGTCTGGATCAGCTGTCTGATCTACTTTCTATAGTTCTAGTGAGGACGCAGGCAGCAGCGTCTGGATCAGCTGTCTGATCTACTTTCTATAGTTCTAGTGAGGACGCAGGCAGCAGCGTCTGGATCAGCTGTCTGATCTACTTTCTATAGTTCTAGTGAGGACGCAGGCAGCAGCGTCTGGATCAGCTGTCTGATCTACTTTCTATAGTTCTAGTGAGGACGCAGGCAGCAGCGTCTGGATCAGCTGTCTGATCTACTTTCTATAGTTCTAGTGAGGACGCAGGCAGCTGCGTCTGGATCAGCTGTCTGATCTACTTTGGTATAGTTCTAGTGACTAGGGACGCATGGGCAGCAGCGGTCCTGGTATCAGCTGTCTGATCTACTTTCTAGAGTTCTAGTGAGTGACGCAGGCATAGCAGCGTCGCTGGATTCGAGCTGTCTGATCTTCTTTCTATGTTCTTAGTGATAGGACAGCAGGCGAGCTGCATTCTGGATCAGCTGTCTGATCTACTTGTTCTTATAGTTCTAGTGACGGACGCTGGCTCTTCATATACGCAGCGTCTGGATCTGCTGTCTGATTAACTTTGCTTTGTTCTAAGGAGGACGCAGGCAGAGCTGCGTCGCTGGATCAGCTGTACTTGATGATTTCTATTAGTTCTAGTGTGGACGCAGTTGAGGCCCAGCTTAGGCAGTGTCTTGGATTCAGCTGTTCTGACCATTCTACTTTTCACTATAGTTCTATTGACGGACTCGCAGGGCGCTGAGCAGCAGTTTTTGGATTCGCAGGTCTGGTTCTACTTTCTATAGTTCTAGTGAGGACGCAGGCAGCAGCGTCTGGATCAGCTGTCTGATCTACTTTCTATAGTTCTAGTGAGGACGCAGGCAGCAGCGTCTGGATCAGCTGTCTGATCTACTTTCTATAGTTCTAGTGAGGACGCAGGCAGCAGCGTCTGGATCAGCTGTCTGATCTACTTTCTATAGTTCTAGTGAGGACGCAGGCAGCAGCGTCTGGATCAGCTGTCTGATCTACTTTCTATAGTTCTAGTGAGGACGCAGGCAGCAGCGTCTGGATCAGCTGTCTGATCTACTTTCTATAGTTCTAGTGAGGACGCAGGCAGCAGCATCTGGATCAGCTGTCTGATCTACTTTCTATAGTTCTAGTGAGGACGCAGGCAGCAGCGTCTGGATCAGCTGTCTGATCTACTTTCTATAGTTCTAGTGAGGACGCAGGCAGCAGCGTCTGGATCAGCTGTCTGATCTACTTTCTATAGTTCTAGTGAGGACGCAGGCAGCAGCGTCTGGATCAGCTGTCTGATCTACTTTCTATAGTTCTAGTGAGGACGCAGGCAGCAGCGTCTGGATCAGCTGTCTGATCTACTTTCTATAGTTCTAGTGAGGACGCAGGCAGCAGCGTCTGGATCAGCTGTCTGATCTACTTTCTATAGTTCTAGTGAGGACGCAGGCAGCAGCGTCTGGATCAGCTGTCTGATCTACTTTCTATAGTTCTAGTGAGGACGCAGGCAGCAGCATCTGGATCAGCTGTCTGATCTACTTTCTATAGTTCTAGTGAGGACGCAGGCAGCAGCGTCTGGATCAGCTGTCTGATCTACTTTCTATAGTTCTAGTGAGGACGCAGGCAGCAGCGTCTGGATCAGCTGTCTGATCTACTTTCTATAGTTCTAGTGAGGACGCAGGCAGCAGCATCTGGATCAGCTGTCTGATCTACTTTCTATAGTTCTAGTGAGGACGCAGGCAGCAGCGTCTGGATCAGCTGTCTGATCTACTTTCTATAGTTCTAGTGAGGACGCAGGCAGCAGCGTCTGGATCAGCTGTCTGATCTACTTTCTATAGTTCTAGTGAGGACGCAGGCAGCAGCGTCTGGATCAGCTGTCTGATCTACTTTCTATAGTTCTAGTGAGGACGCAGGCAGCAGCGTCTGGATCAGCTGTCTGATCTACTTTCTATAGTTCTAGTGAGGACGCAGGCAGCAGCGTCTGGATCAGCTGTCTGATCTACTTTCTATAGTTCTAGTGAGGACGCAGGCAGCAGCGTCTGGATCAGCTGTCTGATCTACTTTCTATAGTTCTAGTGAGGACGCAGGCAGCAGCGTCTGGATCAGCTGTCTGATCTACTTTCTATAGTTCTAGTGAGGACGCAGGCAGCAGCGTCTGGATCAGCTGTCTGATCTACTTTCTATAGTTCTAGTGAGGACGCAGGCAGCAGCGTCTGGATCAGCTGTCTGATCTACTTTCTATAGTTCTAGTGAGGACGCAGGCAGCAGCGTCTGGATCAGCTGTCTGATCTACTTTCTATAGTTCTAGTGAGGACGCAGGCAGCAGCGTCTGGATCAGCTGTCTGATCTACTTTCTATAGTTCTAGTGAGGACGCAGGCAGCAGCGTCTGGATCAGCTGTCTGATCTACTTTCTATAGTTCTAGTGAGGACGCAGGCAGCAGCGTCTGGATCAGCTGTCTGATCTACTTTCTATAGTTCTAGTGAGGACGCAGGCAGCAGCGTCTGGATCAGCTGTCTGATCTACTTTCTATAGTTCTAGTGAGGACGCAGGCAGCAGCGTCTGGATCAGCTGTCTGATCTACTTTCTATAGTTCTAGTGAGGACGCAGGCAGCAGCGTCTGGATCAGCTGTCTGATCTACTTTCTATAGTTCTAGTGAGGACGCAGGCAGCAGCATCTGGATCAGCTGTCTGATCTACTTTCTATAGTTCTAGTGAGGACGCAGGCAGCAGCGTCTGGATCAGCTGTCTGATCTACTTTCTATAGTTCTAGTGAGGACGCAGGCAGCAGCATCTGGATCA